TACTACTATGCTGTCACTTCCTGCCCTTGGCAAATGGAAGTTCTCACATGGCATGGACAAGCAAACTGTGTGCGCCTCGATATTTGGCTCCGGCCACCATGCCGCCGATGTCCAGCGAGATCACCTGCCGAGACTCTTGGAATCTCATTGAACCGCACTGCATCCATGGCTATGGTTTCTGCCGGCTGGTGCCAAAATAGGGTTTGGGGTATAGTATACTATAATATTAAGAATAATAGTAGTAATAATAATGATAAGAAACCCCCAAAACCGAGGATCAGCCTGCAGGTCGCTCACAAGAACCGGAACCCTGACGCCTGCTTGTCCTGGAGCGTCTGTGGGACATCGCCGTCCACGATTCGTCGCGCCAGGCCTTCCACAATGGCCGTTTTGCCAACACCAGGTTCGCCGATGATCACCTCTGCAGACGCTGTGCACCACCATGCATCATTGAGAACATAGACATCTGCGAGGTCGTCTCAATGCAGCCAGCCCACCGCAACATCACGCTTGTGGGCTGCTGCCATGCTGTTTCAACTTGTCTATAGTAAACCCCATTAAGAAGTTGGAAGCCGGTTCAAGGACAAATAGTGCTCGGATTCCTTATGCATTACTCTTCAGAAGCTATAGGGTGTTCAACTTTTGAGGCTTCTACTATAAGAGCCTCAACCAAATCCTGAAGCCTCAACCTTGAAGCAAAGTGCACAACAAAAGTCTCTGCCGAATCGCTGGGTTGTTCTTCGACCGGCGCGCTAGGATCTGGATCACCCGGCGGATCTCTTCATCTCCTTGTTTTTCGAGGTTTGATGGGCGTAGCTACGGGGGGCATATTTAACATGTGCAACTAAAGGAATTGTTTGGCTTGAGAAAGGGGGTTTGTTACGGGCCTTAGCTCAAGTTGCAGCTGTTATAGGGTTCTACGAGGCTTCTCAGGGTTCCTAGAAGCCAAGAAAGTTGCCTTTCAGTCACCATACTCGAGGTTAGTCGAAACCGAGGGTACACAGAATGATGCTGAGTTGAAGCAATTAAACCCAGATTTTTAACAAAAAACCCAGTCGGACTCTTATGAGAGCCTCTGAAAAAACCTATCACCAGAGCTTAGTCTCTGCCGATCACGGGGTCCAGTTTGCCCTCCCTGGCCATGGCTGTAAGGTCTGTGCCGTACAACTCCAGGGCCTCGTAGGTGCTCTCCGGATTCTGAGATGTGACCTGGGAGTTTCCAAAAAAATGGGTTCAGGGTTTAGGGTTTAGGTTTTTTTTGCCTCCTACTTAGCAGGGTTTAGGGTTTAGGGTGTAGGGTTTAGGGTTTAGGGAATTTCCGAACATTAGGGGAGCTTATTGTGGGGGGGTCCTTATAATAAGGATCCTGCTGTCCTATAGTAGGGTCCCCTATTTTCGGTCCTTATAATAAGAATCCTACTGTCCTAAATTAGGGTCCCCTATTTTCGGAAACCCCCACCTTTAGCGTCTAGGCTTTAGGAGCGGACTTTCATGTGGATTCGGAGGTTCGACCTTCTTTTAAGGTGAGCTGCCATGCTGCGGCAGATGCGGCAGGGTTGGCTGGGGGTTTCGGCAAGCCTAGGTATCTAGCTGTCTGCGGTTATGCGGTGACCCTAAACCCTAAGCCCGAGCTCTGTTGCACTTCCCTACCTACAGTCTCCATTGTAGTTCCTTTTTTTGGTTTAACCAATTATATATTACAGTACGGATTTTATAAGGTATCCCCCAAAAGGAACTTCAATGGAGACTATAGGGAAACCATGACGTATCGTCCAGCGACTCTGCCAGAACCGCGAACTTCTTCGACTGCTGCTTTCACCTTTGCTTCGTCGCACCCGAAATCCGAGAAGAACCGCTGCCCAAAGCGTGTGTCCTCATGGGACAATTGAACGTAGGTATACGAAGGGGTAGTAATTGTTCTTGTTCTTGCTGTTTCGACTGTAATTATTGGACTGAAGAAGTTTGGATTTACACGCGTACGGTTACGGGGCTCTTACTAACACTACCTAATCAATGATCTCCAGTTGCAAAAGAACAAGCGGATCCCTTGTCCGTCCTTGCAGAAGGCCAGGACCAAGTGCTCAACAGAGATGTACTTATCACCATACTGGTTGGCGGCCTCAACCAAGCACGCAGGCGGAGGACTTTATCTCCGAGGCACGCGAACCAACGACTGGCACCCGAAAATCCCGATGCCCAAACCTTCAATCATTGGCACCATGTCAGGGTATGCAATTCTAACCAGCGAGCCTCTGAACCCCAATCACAGATCCGACAACAAGTCAAGCTGAAAGAGCTACCAGCTGCTCAGGATTTCACGGTTCAGCCACAACAAAACACAAGCCGGAATCTCAAGCCCGAAGCCTTGAGAGCTCGGTTACAAGCAGAGTTATGCATATCCTAGCTGGGTTATCTTTAGTCACACCCGAGTTATCACCAACTTAGGGAGACCATTGATGAAAAATGTAAAGCTCTTGCTTTCCGAAGCAACTCACGGCAAGGCTACGTTGCAAGCCAAGTTGCTGCCTCTGACTCGGACATCCTTCGCTGCTGTTTCGGTTTTCGAGGCTTTGGTCTATTCCGTTTGTTAAAATCTGTCAGAGTATAGCATAGTGTAGTGCAGTATATTATAGTATATATCTTATTTTATGGCATATTACAATGTACCATACCATATCATACTTTCATTATAGTACATGACATGACATTACATTACATTACATTACATTACATTACATTACATTGCGTTACATTACAGTTACAATTACAATTACAATTACAATTACAATTACAATTACAATTACATTTCAACAGACTATGTTATGATTCGCTATGTGATACTCTAATCTATATATATATATATATACACATACATATATATATATATACATACATACATAAGCATGTATATATATATATACACACAGCTCAAACTACATACTATGTCACAAGAATATAGAAGAAAAAAATATATATCTATATATATATATAGTGAAAACACATCATATCATATCATATCATATTATGTAGTGTAGTATACATTATCAATGTTATATTATAGTATATTCTTGCGATATGTCATACGATACTATACTATACTCTACTATAGTATACTATATTTGTTGAAGTATATGTGTAATGTGACATTGGGCTAGAACCGGAAACAGGAACTACCGTGCCTCAGCCATGTTTTTCCTTGGCAGCTCTCTTCGTTGCCGTGTCCATCACGTCCCGATGCCCGAACTCGTCGACCCTAATGATCCGAAAGACTATGCAGGCCTAGGCCTAAGCTGTTCGAAAGTGATGCCGTCTGTGTCGAATGACCGAACAGCCCAGCATCATCGTCACCAGGCTCCGGCCGGCGGCAGTGCCCATGGAGCTCCCAGGCGAGGTCACCTGAAGAAGCGCATATGGGCAGCGCGTCTTACTTCTGCGAAAGAGCTACGATTGCCATCACTTCGATGAGGGCATTTGTACCCATTTCTGATCATTTCTGATTCGGTGTAGGGGCGAACATGTGCAGGTCTATTGCTAGGTATGTATGCTACTACATACGCTCCTGTTGTATGTAATTACACACAGTAGGCTCGCAAACAAGACCTCAGCAGCCTTTTGCACGTCATGCCTAACAAGCGAACACGCGAAATCGCAAGGAACTCGCAATTCTTGCACGTACGAGACAAGCGCTCCTTAAAGTCAACCAGCAGAACGACAAAACCGGAGAGCCAGTGCCGAAACGTTTCTGCAGACATGTTTTATTTCCAGTGTCTTCTTCCAGGGGCGTAGAGCCAGGGTCGTTTGGCCGGATGAGTGGGAGCTTTTGGCCGGTATGGAGTTCCTGTAGGGGCCTTAATCATTAGAACAAGGCTTTGGGGCATATTATGCTATAGTTATCAATAAGGGAGGCCCCAAAATAGTATTGGTAATGATGTAGGCCCCTATATTACACTTCTTGTAGGGCCCCTGTGTTGCTGTGTGGTTTCGAGGAACAGACGGCGGCATAAACGGCAGCAGTAGGGTAGGAGCTAGCTTCCGCACCTTTTGGACGCAAGCACACCAGCATTTCGAACAACTTGCTTACTGGCCACCGTCAACTACGACATTTCAACTGCGAACGTCTGAAACCATTCAAGTTCTGCTCGCCTTGGGCTGCTTGTCGCTCCACTCCTCAGCAAACGCCGGGAAGAAGTGAGAAGATTGCAAAGCTCAAGTCTCCCGGGATGCAAAAGGCATTCGCGGACACTTGCTGCTGCATGCAGAGAAGACAAGCATCGCAGGAGTCTGTCTACATAAGAAAAAAGGTCTAAAGAATTGGGTAACATGCCTACTCTAGTGCTTTGGTGCAGCAAAGCCTCCATAATCCGGGTGACTGCAACGGGCTTCTGTATGCCAAGCTTGTCCAGTATGCGGGCGGCGAGCCCGCCCGTTGTTGAGATCGGCTGTTCCAACGCTGCGAGAAAGACGTGCTCCGGCTCGACGTACTGGGACTGGCACTTCTGTGCAAAGGTAGGGGCATCCTGCATCGCCTGCCAGGCTGCGTCCGTGTATCGCTCTCGTTCCGTCGGCACGTTCCGATCGGAGGAGTCGTTGGCTGTTGCCCGGCAAAGCACTCGTCGGTGGCGACCTCTCGCTCGCCTCGCACCTGCAACCTTGGCCGCTGCAGGGACCGCCAAGCAGGCAAGGGCAAGCTGAGGCGCGCTGGGCCCGGACGGCCCGGATGGGATGGCCGCAGCATTTGGGCGACCAACGCTCGCAGCCGGCGAGAAGGTTTTCTGGCTGATCGTGGCCCTGGGACAGCGGAGCGCTGGCACGAAGGCCTGGGACAGCGGATCCATGGCGGAGGCACGCAGTCCCCGGGCAGATACAGCTAAAGCTGCGGAGATGCAACCATGTCAGCTCAGGCGGCGATCACGACTGCAACCGCCGGAAACATCATCCTGCTGGAGTAGTTGACAAGGAACAAGCAGCATGCAGCATGGCTTGCACTTCGGGCTGCCGGCTCACAGCCAGTTGCCAACGACCACCACAGGCAGAGATGGCCGCGTTGTAGCCGATGACACCCGCCTGCAAAGCTCGAAACCCTCAATTTTCACGTGCGCCACATTATCAACACATGCATGGCCAATGCAACGGACAGACACACACACAGAGAGAGACAAGCTCCCGAATAGTAGGACAGGCTTCTTGGTCACAGGCTCACCAAGTAATCAACTAACTTCTTGCATCTCCGCCTACGCAATCTGGAACTTAACAGCACGACGGAAGGCACGTTTCCCACGAAGGACAAGCAATACAGGATCCTGATAATCATCAGAACGGGATTTCTTCGGGTTCCTTGGCATACTTGTAGTATTCTATGCCAGGTTCTGAGCTCCACAGCCGTAGTTTGATCTGTGCTTGATCGCTGTAGTGCCCTATAGTACCCCCTGCCCATGACCTCCAACCCAGCCGCGGTCTGCACACCATCTCCGCCTCCCTGTAGCAGAGAAAGCCTGGGCTTCTCAGGAATATCGACGAGGCGATTCTGCAGCGAACCTACTACATCGTAGGTGACCGAAGCTGCCAAAATCGGAAACTGACGGGCCTGGCATGAAAAAGAAACAAAGGTAACAAGACCCTCCCAACGTGTCTTGGCATCCCTGCAGGTGCAAAGCGCGCTGCCATTGACCCGCCTCCGACATCCACAGTCTTTTGCATGAGCGCGTGTGTTCGGTATGATCGGCCGAATAGGGTGGTCACTGGCTTTACGCACAGGCAGCACTAGCACCAGCGGTCGCTAGCACGGGATGACTCCGACACATGTGATATGGCACAAAATTTGGCTAAGCACTACTTGTAATCAAACGAATGCAATTTCTTGTCCGTGGTATCAATATACAAGTAGAGAGAGAGAGAGAGAAAACAAAGAGCGAGAGAGAGAGAGAGAGAATGTGTGTGTGTGTATACTTCAAACATGCATATACACGCATTGGCATGTAACCATGTACGTTTGTATGTATGCATGCATGCATGGATGGATGTGTTTGTTTGCTTCGGTTGTTTGTTTGGTTGGTTGGTTGGTTGGTTGTTTGGTTATTTGGTTGGTTGGTTGGTTGGTTGGTTGGTTGGTTGTTTGGTTGGTTGTTTTGGTTGGTTGGTTGGCTGGCTGGCTGGTTGGTTGGTTGGTTGGTTGGTTGGTTGGTTGGGTTGGTCGGTTTGTTGGCTTGTGAGTTTGTGTGTTCGTGTGTTTGTTTGGTTGGTGTTTTGGTTGTTTGTATCCATGCAAGTATGGTAGTGACGCTGTCGAGTGCGAGTGTCAAACAAGCTTGCAGCTAAGATTGCTATAATTAACCAAGTACGCGAATGCACGTGTGTGTGTGTGTGGATGGGTGCATGTATGCATGCATACATGCACGTACGTATGTAGGTAACACAATCAAGTAGGTAGCCTAGTGAGATTTGTTTGTTGAGGTTTCGGAGTTAAGGAACCTCCCTTTAAAACGCTTTGCAGAGCATCTTCTTCTGTAGTCTAAGGCCTACGTAAGGCCTAAGGAATAGTCTCGGTTCATTCATGGGATCTCAAGCTCTCTCTGCTCTCTGGGCTTTGGGTCCGGTCCGAGCCTTCTCACAGCAACTCAATGCAGAGTTCAGCGCGATCGTGCTTGGCAGAAATCGCGACCCACCTTCGGACAGGCTGGGGAGATCACATTCCGAAAGCCCCCAGGGGTCATTGATTCCCATAAACACACCCCATTATCTCCGGCGAAGCCTGCCAGGTACCTGGGTTTCGACTCTCACAGTCGCACAAGCAGGCAAGGCTCACAGCCTCGGGGATTTTGGGTGTAGGTTTAAGTACTCTAAACCCTGAACAAAACAGGGTGTAGGTCGGCGGATCTATATGCTTACAGTCACAGGGCTCCTCAGAAACCTACTCTGAGTCTTATAGAGCACCCCCCCATATTCAGCATAACAACTCAAAAGAACCAGCACAAAACCTTCGCCTCTAGAACCGCTATGCGCAAGCCTGCAAGCCGGAACATCAGTCTTCGGATTTTGCCATGCTGCGGAGGCTTCGGAGTAGCTGAAGGGCCCATTGCCAGAGGCCGCCGCCCTCTTGGCTTAAAGTTTCAGGCTTCAAGAGCAGTATTTCCCTCCTAAATGTAGGCTTTTTGGTGTATACGGTACATTCAACCATAAGAATAAAGAGGAGTTGGTTTGCAGCACGGGTTTGAGGACTGATGCCCTTGCACTTGGGTTCAGCCAGGTGAAGCTTCGGGTCTTAGAGTCCAGGGTGTCGGATTTTGGGGCTTTGGGATTGTGGGAAGGGGTGTTGGCGAATGTAGGGGCCTTAATGATGAGAATAGGGTTTCGGGGCCCATTATGCTGTAATTATAGAAGGAGCCCCCCAAAGTATAGGTAATTATTTAGGCCCCTATATTAAATATTTTGCCACCTGCCCAGCTGAGCTGAATGGTGGAGCCAGCTTCTAGTGTTGACAGTGGGAGCCGAAGCGACCCCGGTCCCGAATGTCAAGGGGTTGGGTGGTTGCCGGTTTCGGGAGGCTACAGGGTTGAGGCTTTCGCAAGTGTCCACAAAATCCTGTAGACTTCACTGGTTGGGGTACATTTGCAGTGGCAAGTGGTGGGCTGCTAGGGGGCCGGAGTGCAGATTAATGTTCCAAAAACTGGAAATTCAGCTGGTTGCATTTTCGCAATCCCCTAGATCGCTGCCACTAGCTGTTGCACTTGCTGCTAAGAGTGCCTTCTTGCTAAAGCCTGGTTTTCGCCATCACAACCATTCTCGCACCTCTCAGCTCGCAGTCCTAGAACCTTGGTGCTGTTGTCCTCTAGCCGACGATGCGACAAACCGACCTCCCCCTTTCCCCCTTTAACCTGCTTCCTACCTATAGCCTCCATTGTAGTTCCTTTCTTGGTTTAACCAATTATATATTAGTATCCCCCAAAGGAACTACAAGGGAGACTATAGGTAGCACAAGTTGCGGGTTTACGGTTCGTCTAAGATGCCAGGATTCGGGGTCAGAGTTGAGCAGAAATGGAGCGGGGCGCCTTCTCACATGCGCTGATGGCCGCCTGTCACGAGTGTCCCTCTGCAGTGCGGAACATCGAGGTTGCGAATTTCATCGCTGTGTTGCTTGATGGCAGGATGGCTAATTAAACATGACCACTGGACAGTACACTGCTCGATATCATCGCAATTGTTCGGTTGCTGATCCACAGATTATGGCCACAACGCCATGTTGGCTTCAAAGAAGTCGACACGAGGCTTACACTGGATGTCGCTGCTGAGCGCGATTCGTCATAAGACAACGTTATATGTGGCCGTAGAGATTGGCTACACAATCTGTCCCCTACTTCTAAATACAGACACCTACAAAATGCTTACAAAATCAAGTAAGTACCTACCACTCCGTTGAAGATCCGGCTATCTCCATTTATGCGGCTGTACATCACGTGTAACGTGACAATCTTGTCTGATCTTGCTGGTCTGCTATACTTTGCCACTCTTTTGCGTGTCATGTTCTGCGCAGCATACTTATGAGAAGGAGAGAGTTCAATATGCATGCACACAGCAAGAGACAGAGCGACAGAGAGACATACCTCGGCCCCCTCGTAGGTAACGAAGGTACGGGGTCCAATAGAGTGACAGGCAGCAGTCTGGATGAGTCCTCTGTACCTCCCTGAATCTCTCCGCCAAACATGGCACCACGAGCCACACGCGCCCACTGCTAGGTCGCGCGAACTCCCGTACTAAGGCTTTGGCATGGAAGGTTTCCGCCGAAATGGCTGAGCCGTCGGAGAGCATCCTGTCGACCTGGAGTTGCCACTCTTCTGCACATGTTGTAGAGTGGTGGTGGCGGTTAGTAGTAGTTGTACCTAGAAGTAGAAGCAGTCATACTAGTAAAATACAAAAACTTGTTGTCGTCGGTCGTAGTGGTGGTGGTAGTGCTAGTAGTAGTGGTAGTAGTAGTAGTAGTAGTAGTAGTAGTAGTAGTAGTAGCCGTGGCAATAGTAGCAACAGTAGCAACAGCAGAAGTAGGCGTATGTTAGCAGTCTCATTCCTCGTCATCTTTGTGGTGGCGGCGGTGGTGACGCTCGCGGCCTGGTCTTGGTGGTGGTGCTGGTGGTGGCGGTGGTCGTGATGGTGGTACTGCTGATAGCTGCAACCTTCGAACCATTTGATGTCGAAGTGCGTGCCTCATGCATGTCCGGTGATCACACTCGCACTGTGTCCGGTAGGTATTTGTTCGCAGACCGGGATAGCCGAAGAGGACTGCTCTGAGTTCCGCAGCCCCACCCAAGCTTCCGAGCCAGCAAGAAGCTGACTTGCGGCCAAGTGTGCTCGACGATGTTGCGTTCGGAACCGACGCAGCACACACTGATTAGGCAGTGCCGCAGTCAATGGCTGTCACGATCAAAACGAACTCACACTGACCACCAACAGCGAGCTTGAGGCTTGCTAGGGGCAGCCGCAGAGCCGAAAGGCCTTGCCTGCCTCCGACAGCTCATTGCGCGTGACGGCGTGCCAGTCCGCTTCACACACAGCGCACTTGCAGGCGACCGAACTGAACGATTTCGTGATGTGAGAAGGGACGGGCACATGGCCGAGTCAACATGTCCAGGAGAGGCGAAGGGCCCTGAGAACTCATCGGTCCTCAGTCTGCCGCTCTGTGAATCCCGGAGTTTGTGGTCTTTTCGGACACTCTGATCCGCTCCTCCAGCCGCGTTTCGGGTGCTCCCGTGGCTCCCAAGTCTTCAGATACTCTCTCCTGCACACGGAGGATGAATCGGACGGAAGCACGCCGGCTCAGCTTCGAGCAAAGATCGCCCAGAACATGGTTCATTGGAAGAAGTACCAGCACTAAGACTCCTCGCAACCTGGGATTGCGCTGTACTTCCTGGAGGCCTCTGTCTACATGCTCTTGCAGGTCTCCGATCTTTGCCTCGGAGCTCTCGCAATCTTCCGAGATCAAGTGGTCGCCTGCGAAGTGCAGCACCTGTAGGTGCCACCGCAGCAACCTCGCCACGCACTCAAGCAAAGGCCTGTGTAACATCTCCTCAACTTCCACCACGCCGAAGCCACAAGACAGCCGCAGCTGCACATGCACCATCCTTACAACCTCCATAGGATCCCACTGGCTACGTGAAGCATCGAGGCGGTCGAGGCGTGCCGCTTCTGTCATCACTTCTACAAAAGCTTCTCCAGGTTGTACGCTAGTGTCCAAGGACACCAGCACCTGCATGAGGCTTCCATTTACAGCCTCGCGGACATCACAGATGTCCAATCCGTCTGTCAAAGGGGTGCTGAAAGTCGTGGGATAGCAGCCGTCGGCAGAAAACAACCGCACGGAGCAGACCAAGCCGTGATCATTGAAGTTCGGAAGCATGACAGATGTAGGCATTCGAGACACTTTTTGAGTGACGGAGACTCTTGCCAGCTGCAGCCAGTGTTCGCAGAGCGCATGCTTGAAGTGCGACAGACCACCCTGAAGACGTTGGAGTATCTGTAGATTGAACATATTCCAATCCTCCGTGAGCGAAGTGAGGCGCCCAAAAAGGCGCATGAACTTGACGGTCATGATGTCGGGGACCTCCAGCCTTGCCAGAAAGGCAATTACCTCGCAATGATGGACCTTTGGTGCCATGGATAAAGTCCAGTTCGGGGTGAAGCTTGCTGAACTGGGATGGAAGGCTTCGACAGACATGGCCGCAAGATATTTGCGGCAGGCCCAGAATCCATCATCAAGTTCGAGCACGAGTTGTTTGTAGTCCCGCACTTTGTGGCGATGACTCTCGGAAATCAGTGTGTTGGAACCGTCACGGGCACACATCTGCACTTCTAGGTCCAACTTGTTCGCCAACGAGTCTTCCAGGTCCTTCAACGTGGCATCAGGCGCCAGGTCTATGCTGAAGACAAGAGTTCCATTCAACAACGTGCCATTGACCTTGAACCCCTCGCCTTCGTCACCAATGATGGCCGTGATGGGTTTGCCTACCAGCTCCATTGCGGCCGCGGACATACAGTGCCAGCTCAAGCCGTGCACTACCACATCTGCCCTGTGTGTATCACATGCACGTGTCCGATCCGATTGGGAAAAACAACGTATGTGTGGAAGACTGTGAAGGCATTGAACGTGTACAACACAGGGGCCTGAACCATCAGAATAGGTCTCAAGCTTTTGGGGTAGTCATTGTCAAACCCACTCTTCACCAAGGTTTTATACTATACTTAGAATGAGAACCCTATAGAATAATATTGTTAAACTTGATTTAGGCTTGCTATAGCTCTGTAACTTCGAGTCGCACTGTATCTACGAGATATGGCTCAGAGCTGCAATGTCGCCACGTCAGATGCAATTGTAGTAATGGCATTGTTCCAATCACCGCCGGTATTTTTTGAACCCAGCCTCAAATGTCGGCAAACCACATCAACCAATCCACCTGTCTGCATTTAAAGGTGTCAGCCGGTAGTCCTATTGCCATGAATATAAATATGGTCATTTGGTATCATGCAAGCGCTCACTACTCCCTCCTTCCCCCCTGCCGGTTACTCGCCCTCACCTTCGTCATGCGACCCAGAATCAACACCCGAACAAACGTATTACGGGTCGGGGTTTGGGATTTCAGGACATCAGGGAATCCTTGTGGCGTATCAATGCGAGCTTATGTGGGATCGATTTGGGAATTGTTTGGGCTTCATCTGGATCTGATTTGGCTATCGGGGCCAGTGGAGGGGTGGCGTCGGCATGCATCTTCATGATACTAAGTGCACTTTGTGATGCCACTACCATCTTTCCACTACTACAACCACTGCCCGTACCACTACCACCACCACTACTACCACGACTCCTACTACCACGGCTACTAATACGACCACGACACGACGACTATGACTACTACTACTACTACTACTACTACTCCTCCTCACTTCTCCTGCTCACTAAAATTAAAAGACTGAGCTGCAGCAGACGCGTCGAGAAAGCTTCAGAGATGCCGTTGTCAGATCACTGAGCTCCAAGCAATCACCAGGGCCTGCGCCAAAGCGGGTTTACGGCTTAGGATTTAGGGTTTAGGATTTAGGGCTATACCCAAAATGCCAAATAGGAGACAGCGCGCTTCTACAAAGGTTGTGAGCTGCTCTAGCCGGACCCTCAAGCGCGACTCAACCGGGGTCTGGGATTCCTCCAACCTTCCATTCCGGAACCTTTATGTGAAGCGCTGCCCAGATCCAGGAGAAACACAGCACCATAGCCTACCCGAAGTAATGCATAAAACTCGACCCCCCGAACTCAATTTAGACCCCCCCAATTACAAAACCCTATCCCCAGCAATCAACAACAATCTCGCTCCAGGCTCCCAAAAGTCACTTGAAAGAACACTTGAGGCCCTTTTGTCGGGCCCCTCGTCCAAACTGCCCCTCCTAAATTCAAGTCTGAGGCAGCCTGAGCACTGGTGACGGGACTGCTGAAGAAGCACGAGAGGGCTGCCCACTTCACGGCGAGCAAGAACCGAACATGGTAAAGGCCAAATGCCCCTTAAACCCCAAAGTTTTGGAGATTGGGGCTTCATAGCGAAGTCCCTGGGTTTAGGGTTTAGGGGTTTAGGGGTTTAGGGGTTTAGGGTTTAGGCCCTCGAAGCATCCTGCTGAGCTCCTTGCCCAGCGCCAAGCCCGAGCTCTCGCGCAGGCAGCTGCCGCAGCGAAGTAGGCCACGGCCTTCCGGCTTCGACTCACACACTCGCGCAAGTCCGGGGTCTGAGTTTAGGGAAGTTTAGGGTTTTCACTGATCTTTTGTAGAAGAAGGGCACGGGAGTTGAGCTTGCAAAGGTAGCTGGAAGCTCTGGCTATGCAGGACGGCACTCCCAAAGGCTCTGGTGTTCTTTTCGCGATCAGCTTCCATGTTGTAACTAACACAATCAAAAACTCCCATACACGACCTGCCTCTGCCTTCTCCAAGGAGAGAAGATATGACACGGCCTGGGTCACCGGCCGCTACTTCGAAGGCGGGGTGTTCCGATTCGTGAACTACCTATAGTCTCCATTGTAGTTCCTTTTTGGGGATACCTTATAAAATCCTTAATATATAACTGGTTAAACCAACGAAAGGAACTACAATGGAGAATATAGGTAGGCGCATCTGCTCGGATCCTGGCACCTTGCCAGAGTCCCCCGTTCGCGCCTCACGGGCCGAGGTTGCTCACTTGATTTTTGTTTTCGGCAGGGGCTGCAGCGCACATGGGGCCCGGATCCTTCAGCCACAATGCTTTGCCCACTTGAACTACCTAGACCCCCCAACTACCCTCTATTATTCCCCAAATACCCACTATTAAGGACCATAAGGGCTCTATTAAAGGGCCATTGGGGGGTCCTGGTACAACCTAGATCCTCATGTTAATTGAGCATCAAAACGCTCACTCAGCTGCGTTGTTGGCGGCGTCCCGACCACATTCTCTGAACCCCGGCGCGAGCAAAACTTCGAGGCGGTGAGATGTCATGCTGGAGTGCGCACATGCTCGTTCCCACTGCTTCAATGAAGGAGGCAAGACTTGGGCCAGGGCATGCAATCAACGCTGATATCTTTGACACGGCCTCAAAACCAACGTGGGATCGACAGGAAAAAAGCTCCCCGAACACAAACACACCCTGCGCACACCTGATGACGACCATCAATACGACAAGGCTCAACATGGGACTCGACAAGTACATGATGCTGGCTGTCAGTGGCTCGGCTCCACACGTTTGGCTGCACGGCCCCTCACGACTGATGCCAGACTTGCAGATGTTGCAAATTCTGAAACACTGATCACGGCAAACGAACTATGACGGCTGGACCAGCATCGCGCCTGCGGATGCCAACATCCGTTCGAATATTCGGAGCCTGGCAAACTTGGAAGCTGAAGTACTGCTCAAACCAGGGATGCAGGACACATCTTTGAGACGTTTGGACTTATCCCGATGTGCTCTGACAGCACAGTGGTAGAGAGCATACCCAGCATTATCCAGGCCAAGGTAGAATGTGGACATCAAGCAGACAGAGTCAGAATGTCGAATTCTCGCACTGCTTGCACTGTGACTTGTCGATGAGTGCCTGACGCCTCGTCCCAGTGGGAGCACCGGCTGCACCCTCCCATCGCGGCGTTGCACCTGAGCACTCTAAGTCTCTAAGTATCGGATCCAAGCTGGCGACACCCGGACGAGGTGGGACACGGACGTATTGGAAAGCCGACAGCTTGACTGTATAAAAGGTATCAGCGCTTCATGTACGGCTGTATAGTGTCAGCTGGAATAATACGTATTTCTTCGTGTCTATTGACAGCATCGCCGGGCAGGTCGTCCTGTATCAATATCAGTGCACCTAATATAGGAGCCTCAATAGTTACCAATACTCTGTGGGGGTTCCTTATTGTAGTTATAGCACAACAAAACCCCAATAAACCCTATTCTAAGTATTAAGGGCCCCTAATATAAAGCCCTGTTATAGATCTCTTAAAGAACCCTGTAAGGATCCCTTCAAAGGAACCCTATTCTAAGTATTAAGGCCCCTAAATTACCCCAAACACCACGCCCTCAGGCCCAACCTGGTAGTGTCCTCCCGAAGCAAAGCTCGGCGAGCTGCCTTCGGAAAGACGTCTCGGGCAGCTGTAAGCTCACCAGGATGCGCTTTACAAACGCTTCCAACTTGTATATGGTATGTGTTATATAGATATAGATATATATCTGCATATATATATATATATATATAATGCGTGTGTGTATGTGTGTGTAGTGGTTGTACACACACGTCTATTTGTAAATAAATATATGCACATGTGAACATATGTGAACCATGTCATGCCATGGGCACGGCCGATCCATTGATTTCCTGCCTACTCTTTTTAGACAGGAGCTCTGCCAGGAATCTGTTGGGTTTAGGGTTTAGGCTTTAGGGGTTTAGGGTGTTGTGCAATTTGATCCAAAAAGCCAGCCTCCAGAAGGACGAGAGCTTTGGTCCAGTGGCCTACGCCTGCGAGGAAACAGTAAAAAACACTGAGCGGTTTGGGGGTTTATGCAAAACAGATAGGCCTGCCAACGTCTTCACCTTTGCCATCATAAACATCAGCTGTCACCTCATTGTCGTCCTCACCCTGATCGTCTTCAGCCGTCTTCATCACCACTACGAAAATGGAACCACCACATCTTGAGCTTCGACAGGAACATCGTAGGCAAGTTCACCATGATTGTCTTGACCTTGCGTATGTTTCAATTTACTATCAAAAAAGTTTCATGGTCGCCATCATCTCCAACATTACCACCCATTGTCAGCGTCAAGCTCGTGGACACCATCACGAATCACATAACACCAACATCATATTCATGCAAAAGTTCGTGCTCATGTCCCTTCTTCTTGGCACCACCTTCGTACTCTCTCGTCGTCACCATTATTGCCGTCACTGTCACCATCACGATTGTCACTGAGCTGAGCGAACCTCGCAACGATCACCACTGGACCACCCTCCTGATCATCATCATCATCATCATCAGCAGCAGCAGCATCATCATCAACACCATCGCCATCAACATCAGAAGCAGCATCCTCATCGCGTGCGTTGTGCTCTACCTGTGAATTGCGGCCGCGATGTTAACAAGCAGACCGCGTCCAAAGAGTTGGAAGAGCATGGCACACAAGACCGACCACCTGGCTCAAACTCAAACATGCTCGAGCTCTGCTTATCACAACCACCGCATACACCCACACCGCCTGGCCTCCTACTGCTGAAATCATCGCCGTCGTGGCATGAAGCCTTCGGTTGTGAGGAGAGGGCTTCGAAACCAACAAAGGCAACCACTTGGAACCACTGTGACTCTCTGGTTTCTCTCTCTCTCTCTCTCTCTCTCCCTCTCTCTCTAAAATAGTAGGATCTTTATTATAAGGAGCCCAAAATAAGGTACCCCTTATTTTCAGAAACCCCTACTTGAACCAGACACACCAGCACCCCACCTAACGCAGCTCCCTGACCCCTGCCTCGACTCTCCCGTTCGGGGAGATGCTGTGTTAAGCGTGATCACGTGTGATGTACAGGTGATCGAGGGTGATTAACCTCCCCCCACTGCTCTGTGCTCAAGGAGCCGGGGTGTCCCCCAAATTGCGGAATTGCTTCAAACTCGAAACTCATCCTAAGTCCCATCATGAATCTGTGAGCACACCACTGTTGACCCAGCGCAAGCGAAAGTGCGGAGGGCCAGCCGCCCTCTGCCTCCCGACTTGGGAGGGCTTCCGTGTCGGCTAGGTTTTGTTCGGGATACCGTTTAGGGTTTTTTTCCCTTAGGGTTTAGGGTTTAGGGTTTAGGGTTTAGGGTTTAGGGGGGTTTAGGGCTTAGGGCTCCGATGCAAAACTTGGGTTTATTGCAGCGCTCAGTATCATCGCTTGTCGGATCCATGACCGTGCGAGTTGGACTGTTTGGTACTACATAATGCGGCTCTATGGCACGCAAGATAAGCTCGGGGGGTAGGGCTCAGGGAAGAAGCCTCGCAAGAAGGAGATTTTTGTTGTAGTAGCACACGGGCATGTGCAGGACCTTCTTCCCCAGCGGCATGTGAAGAGACGAGTTGGCGATTGGCACCGAGGCCTTATAAAGACCCTGAGAAATGGCTGGAGGCCAAGACAGTCAAATTCGCCCCTCCTTCGCCCGGCCTCGCAAGCAGATATGGATGTTAGAGCCGCGGTTTCGGAGAGGAGGAGGTGCTGCACCTCCAGCTGATAGGGCGCTGGGCCTAAACGGCTCGGGGGTGGCTTCCTCCTTTTCACTCGGATAGTCGTGGGTGTTGCGAGGGGTTGATGAGTTGGGATCCCATGTTGTGTCATAGCGGCTTCATGATGAGCGAAGTACTTGGCCTGACCGTCAGCCCACAATCACCACCTGTAGCCCCGAACCCTACCAAAGAGCAGAGTAATGTAGGGGCCTAAATAATTACCCATACTATTTTCTTGGTTCCTTATCATAATTATAGGTCCAAAACCCTATTCTAACTATTAAGGCCCCTATATTAGGAGCCCCGACGCAAAGGGCCTGACCTGAAAAAAAAACCTAAACCCTAAACCCAAACCCTAAACCCTAAACCCAAGCCCTAAACCCTAAACCCTAAACCCTAAACCCTAAACCCAAACCCTAACGGGTCCAAACCTGGGGCGGCCTTCAGCTCTCGGATCAGATCCACAGCCAGCTGCCAGTCTCGATGCCGACCTTTAAAGTTGTTAGAGCTCTAGTTAGGATTTAAGTGAAGGGTTTAGGGTTTAGGGTTTAGGATTTAAGTTAAGGGTCTAAATTGGGGTCGAAAAGTGTAGCTCAGGGTAGGGTAGGATCGATCATGAGAGGTTTGGATTCAGGCCTAGATTTCCGCTGCATGATATTGGGGGTCTTATGACGGGGATACACGTTTGAATGTTCAAGAGCTTGGCCCATGTCTTGAGTTTGGAAGATCTGCCCTCAGAGATTCATGTGCTTCTCCACAAAGGGCATTTTGTGACGAACATACTCTTCGCTTGCAGTTGCTTGCATCATGCATGCCTAATTTGAGCTTGCGCCTGGGAACGTAGACAAAGTTCCAGCTTGCTTTCGACTGTAGCTCAGAGCGACCATATCTACTCTCCATCCGCATCATCGCCACCACGAGCATCACCATCAGATTGCAGAGGGCACTAGTTCCCTCCTACTCTCCCACGAAAAACTGCTCTCTCATCGGTTGAGGTCGCGGCACGCGGCCATAGCCGCGCTGTAAGAGTAGGCCTCGGTGACCGCTACTTTAGTGGCGTTGCCTTCAATTTGGCTTCACTCTTCAATGCAAGTTATGACATGCCTTGAGCTCTGGAATGCAATGCCGGTGCCGCAGACCGTTACCAGCTGATTACGCTGCTTGTCTGCTCCCAGACATCCAGTCGGCTGGGCGCGGCGCATTGGCACGGACACTCCAGCGTCGCATCTTCTTCCTGGGTTGCCAGAGCTTGCTCCCAACTGCCGCAAGGCCTTGCAACAACTCAGGGCCCAGCAAGAGTCTTGCGGCCTGCAACCACAAAGCCAGCCTCGGCTATGCCACAGTCGCCAGCACTAAGTATGTCTTGAAGCTTGTTGTTTTTGGGCGTGGAGGCGCCTTCGCTTCTCCGAGGCTGCAAGAGAAGTCTTACCGTTAGCACCTGAATTAGCCGCAGTTGACTTAATTGATCGTAGTCCTGGAAATGGTGTGCTTCCCGAAATAAAGCATGATCCACTTCCACTTATCGCATTGGGGAAAGATTTCACACCACAAATCTGACCATCTGTGGGCATCGAAAGCAACTGGGGTGTGCTTATCGGTGATTTTTGGAACGGTCATCCAAAAGGCGGGATCCAGCGGTGCACAGCACGATCCACCTTGCCAAGACTTTGTGCCTTTTCGATGTTGCTGGCGATCTGGGAGCACAATTGCGCGTATCGATGTGCAAGTTCATGTGGCGTCCAGTGCGTGTTGCATTGGAGTGAGTCTTGGAAGTGCTCAAGAATGCTTGGGATGAACGAATTGCCTGCAATCCCGGCAATAGTGGCAGCTTGAAAGCTTCATGGTATACATATGAACACCGACAGCAGCTCGACATCAGCAATGGCTTCAGCCCAGCTTATGCGTCTGGTCGGAAGATGGGTCGACGTATGCAGGAAGGCGATAAAAGGGTGAAGGCTGCTTTCTCCATCACCGTTTGTTGCAGCAGCCGTCGCAGCTGCCTGTTCATTGTCATCAACACTAGTAGCCGTCACGGTGGTGGCAGCCTCTGCGGCCGTATCGGGCTGCTATTGCTACACGTGCTATAAACACGATCATTTCGCTTAGTAGTAGTCGTCGTCGTCGTCGTAGTAGTAGTCGTAGTCGTAGTCGTAGTAGGTGTAGTAGTAGTCGTCGTAATAATAAAAAAACTTTGCTACAGCAGCACACGCAGCAGCAGCAGCAGCAGCAGCTGCGCACCTGTATTATGCCCGTTTTCGTGAGACGTCGCAACATGTACAACAATGAGCATAGTACTAATTGCTAGTACGTACTGTGATGATTATTAGAGAACTAATGGTAATACTAGAAGCAACAATCATAAAAAGACAATGAGAAAAACAAATATGAAAATAGTAATACCCACAATAATGACCTCAAAGACAAGAGTAGTAATAATCATAATCAATGATCATAACCATAAGAATAATAATCACAAATACTAATGGTAGTACCCATATAAAGAAAACTGCTGGGGACAACATTAAGAAGAATGACCGTGATACTGATCATGGTCGCGACAATGATGACCACGACGATCATGATGAAGAACAAGTCAAAGATGAAAACCAGCACCATCATGATGATAACAACCATCGTCATCATCATCACCATCATGATGCTAACCGCAACAAATACTACTCACCATGATAGAGATGGAAGCCACACCGAGGACAGATCCGGCCAGACCCGGCGATGAGGGCCGTCCACGTCACGGCCTCATGGGGCTTTAGGGCTTTCCGGATCAAGGTCCTCGGGCAAGCTTAAGGCTCTCGGGCTCGGGCTTCAGGGCTTGAGGTGTGTAGGATTTAAGATGTTCGAGAGCTCGGGCCATGGCGAATCTTCGGCCCCTACAGACGGACCCTGCCTGAATGTAAGTTGAGGGTGAGATTCGAGGATGTTTGACTTATGAATATTCAGGTGCCCAAAGAAAGAGGTGCGGGCCTGAGGCATGAACCTGCAACTTTGCTGCTTTTCTCTTCGTGCAATCGCGCTACCCGCGTACAAACAAGTCTTTTAGTGGAATCTCGGCACCCGCATACCAAAAAAACTTGCTCTAACTTCGTGCAGTTGCACAAAGGGGTATTCAGCAAACCTCGAACTGGGTTTGATACGTCCGGATGCATCCGGCTACGCCGTATCCTGTGCACCAGGAGTGGCACACGCCCTCAGATCACAAGCAAGCTGGAAAGCGAAGGCCAGCAGTGCAAGCGTGACAACGCTTAGGAACATGAAAACTGGCAAACGAGAATAGACTCGACTCGCGCGACTCGGGCAATGCAGGCGAGTTTGGGGTTTGCGGCTCTAGATCCAGCAGATAATCTACTATAATATAGTGTACTATAGCAGAATATACTATTCTGTTAATATACTGTACTATAAGATACTATACTGATCCCAGATCTGTCCTGCGAAGCAGCTCCCTCACGACTGGAAGCGGAGCAGCGCCTGCTGAGGGTTGAGGCTCAGGTTCAAAAGGATTTGTGCGTCAGCGCTTCGGGCGCAGGTCCGCAGGTCCGAGTATCAGAGCGTGGTGGTCTTCGGGTCGCCGAGCTTTCTAGGTCTCTTGCACGCGCAGAGCTCTGTCAGATATCATTTCTAGCCAGGCGACCCTGGGAAAAGACAAAGTCCGTGCTGAGCTCTTGCAGGCAGAGAGGAGGAAAAGCACCAGCACCGTTGCAAGAACAGCACTTTTTTGGGGCTGTAGTGTGCCCTTTTAACACAGGCTTGATTGAAGCTCGCCCGGCCACAGACCCGACACTCTAAACTATAATAGACTTTGCTATAAGCTACTACACTATAATAACATACACTATAACAGAATATATTATACTATAAGATACTATATCATAATACAGTCTACTGTAACAGAATATACAATTCTAAACCCGACGCCGGTCTGAGCTCGGGCCTGAGCAGACGTTCAAGGCGGCATTCAATCCTGGCGAAGGCCAAGAAAGGGTTTCGGGTTTAGGGTTTAAGGTTTGGCGTTTGCGTTTTGGGTTTAGGGTTTAGGGGTGTTACCCTCCCAATTAACAAGGACGGGTTTACGCTCTCACATTTCGGACCAAGCCAGGCGAGGATCAAAGGTCGGGTTTTGACTCTCACATTCGCACAAGGCCGGCAAGGCTCCGCACAATCCCAAAGGACGGGCTGAGGGTTTAGGGCACGAGTTCTCACTGCAAGCTGGCTCCCAACTGCAGGGTTGAAATTTCCCTACTCCCAACTCTGGAATCATTTTTTTTGAGCCCGGACTTGCTGAACGCCAGGAAACGGAAGGCGAGAGGACACAACTCCCATGATATTCATGAGACAAAAACCATGTCATGAACTTTAAACCCTCCACCCTTTTTTTGGAACCCAGACTCTAAACCCTAAACCCTGCACCCTGAAACCTATACCCTAAACCCTCAAGCCCTGAAACTGGAGGACCCTTGGATAATTTACGCATGCAAGCTTTGGAATCATCCCCGAGCTCCTGCTCGATGCATGAGGATACTTGAGCTTCAAAACGTTTAAGGTTTGGGGCTTGAGCGTTGCGTCTAGTCTAGGGTTCAAGGGCTTGAAATGTGGGCTTTTATGGGGGAGAGAAAGCCCCACTTTATACGTCCACCCGCCCGGTAAGTAGAGCCTACCGCACCGAAAAGGAGCAGCAGAGCAAACGCATGTCACCTCTCTTTTTTCTCGCAATTCATCGCCGTAAACGCGGAAAATCTTCGACATGCTCACTGTGAATTGACTGGGCTCTCGCTAAGGAAGCTTGCTTGAAATATCATACCAAGGAAAGCGCATTAGGCCATTCGGTACTACTTGGTGCTATGTATCCCTCTTGGAGTAACTTAAACTACTTGAACCCAGTGTAGAGGCTGCAAGTTACTTGTACCCCTCTTCCTTCCTCTCTCTCTCGTCTTTTTGAAACACAGGGTTCCTGCAAAGGTCGGCTTTCGAATAAGGCTCTTCGGTGTAAAGACTCCAAACAGGAACCTTGTCCTAGAGAGATCATCAGACGATTCTGAATTGAACCCCGTTTGTTGTCGGGATCTCACAAAAATCGCAACCGGATTGGACCACGCAGGAGAGTTATACAAGTACTGTGGCAGCACTCCCTCATTTTCGGCCTTGTTCAACTTAGCTTCACCCCTGCGATGGTTCGTCAGAACACGTGGAATCTAAAGTGGGCCGGGACAAGGCGTCACCCTGTCGGTCACCAATTAAATGTCCGCAAAGAGCAAATAGAGACTATCAAGAGCTTCTGGTAGGCAGGAACTTCATGCAGCTGTACAAAAACCCGCCTACAGAAGACCGGAACATCGTGAATTCTAAACGGCCTTTTGGGCCATGAGATGTACTATGTATCCTCTGATGTCCTCTGCTGGACAACGAAACGTTGTCTCAAACGTCGGACCACAGGTCTTGAAGCTTTAAGTTTTCAGAAGGACGTAGACTCCGATCAGCACCAGCCTGGAGAAGCAAGGAATAAACAAATGCGAAAATACGGTGGTGCTTCTCCCTCCCTACCTGCGTTACTAGTGTTCTTAGGATTATCAACAATGTTACTACTATGAGCATTGTTTGTATGATCCTTACAAGTACAAGTGTTAATACTCTTTTGTTGCCTCCTACATGGCTGAGCGAGTCGCGAAGCAGGGTTTAGGGTTTAGGGTTGAGAAAAGACCAGAACATCGTGAAAACTAAACGGCCTTTTGGGCCATGAGATGTACTATGTATGCTCTGATGTCCTCTGCTGGACAACGAAAGGTTGTCTCAAACATCGGACCACAGGTCTTGAAGCTTTAAGTTTTCAGAAGGACGTAGACTCCGATCAGAACCAGCCTGGAGAAGCAAGGTCTCAAACGTCGGACCACAGGTCTT